AGTGTGAAAATAAGACTTGATTAAAAGCAAATCTATTTTAGTTCCTTTTGCAAATGGCTCTGCTTTAATGTCACCTTCCTGAATTCCCTTTAATATTCAAATGAGGGAATTCATTTTACCACACATTATAGATAAATCACAACCTCACTTTTCTGTTGCTGCTGTTTTTGAGGTACTGGGGATGAAATCCAAGGCCTTTCACATTAGGAAGCTCTCTGTCGCTGAGCTACAACCCCAGCCCCCACACTTTTTATTCTTCAATGAGCATCAATTATTAATTGTTAAGATTATAAAAACAAACTCATCAGAGAATAACAGAGTAGGTTGCCTTTCTTATCTTCCTTTGTTTTTCCTTTCTATTGAAAACATACAGGCATACATACAGGCTTATGCAGAAATTCTGCCCTTGTAAATATTGTAACAAGATTCTAAATGGAGTAAAGCTTTTCCAGTGTTTCTTGATGCGTTGCCAGCAAAAATGAAAAACTCTCACAAATCAAACACTTGTTTTGGAACTGTGCAAAGGGCATGAACTTATCAGAGTTGTTACCAAGAGCTTTTGCAATAGAAAAGGTCAGGGAAAAAAAAATTGAGCAAATATCTGCTCTGCTTTTTTTCCATGGAGAAACAGCACCAACGTAACATAGCCCTTATGATAATCTAGGAAAAGTACATTTAAAAAAAATTAGTAGGGGCTGGGAAGGTGGCTCAGTGGTAGAGTGCTTGCCTTGCATGCATGAGGCCCTGAGTTTGATTCCTCAGCACCACATAAGCAAAAAGAAAAGAGCCGGAAGTGGCGCTGTGGCTCAAGTGGTAGAGCACTAGCCTTGAGCTGAAGAGCTGAGGGACAGCGCCTAGGCCCAGAGTTCAGGCCCCATGACTGGACAAAAAAAAAAAAAAATTAGGAGCTGGGTGCTAGTGGCTCATGCCTGTAATCCTAGCTACTCAGGAGGCTGAGATCTGAGGATTGCAGTTCAAAGTCAGCCCAAGCAGGAAAGTCTGTGAGACTCTTATCTCCAATAAACCACTTGAAAACCGGAAGTGGCACTGTAGCTCAACTGGTAGAGCACTCACCTTGAGCTGAGGAGCTGAGGGACAGTGCCCAAGCCCAGAGTTCAAGCCCCACGACCAACCAAAAAAAAAAAAAAATTAGGCTATAGTGTGTGTATGGTGGTGCAAGCAAGTAATCCCAATATTTAGGAGGCTGAAGTAAGAATTGTTTTTCCCAGATGCCCACCAGTGTTTGACGCCTGTAATCCTAGCTACAGCTAGGCTTCTTAGCCACTTCTGGCTTTTTAGTTACTTGGAGATAAAACTTTCACAGACTTTCCTGCCCAGGCTGGTTCTGAACCTTCATCCTCAGATTTTTGCCTTTTGGGTAGCTAGGATTATAGGTGTGAGCCACCAGTGCCCAGTCTTTTCTGGTTTTCATAGTGATACTTTCCCAGAGTTTTAACTTCTTTCTTTTTAGGCAGATTTTTTACTTGGTAACCCAGTTGGCCTCAAATGTTGGATTCTTTTGCCTTAGACTCCTAATTGCTGCAATTATAGATATACACTGATGGGCTGGGACAGTGGCTCAGTGGTAGAGCGCTTGCCTTGCATGCATGAGACCCTGGTTCGATTCCTCAGCACCACATAAGCAAAAAAAAAAAAAAAAAAGATATACACTGACATACTCAGTACCTATCTGGTTTTCAGTGAATAATGTACAATGTATTTTAAAGTGTTCCCTAAATTGTGGGCATTTGTAGTGAAATTGTTTCACAGGAAACACATGTCATTTCAGCATTTTCTAACTGCAGCCACAACATAGTAGTCTATAGTTCATGATGATACACACATTGTATCCTATGGTTTACCATGGCAGTTTGACAAAGAAATGGCCAAATGTAAATAGTCAAATTCCCTTCTTCCCTCCCTCCCTTTTTTGAAGGTGCTAGGACTTTAACTGAGGGTCTGAGCTACAACCCAATTTCCAATCCTACATCTTAATGTAGGTTAGTTTTCTTTCAGTTTTGCTAAGGAATCAATTCTAAATTAATTAATCAATTTATTTTCTTTCTTTCTTTTTTTTTTGGCCAGCCATGGGCCTGAACTCTGGGCCTGGGCACTGTCCCTCAGCTCTTCAGCTCAAGGCTAGTGCTCTACCACTCGAGCTGTAGCGCCACTTCTGGCTTTTTCTGCTTATGTGGTACTGAGGAATCGAACCCAGGGCCTCATACTTCCAAGGGAAGCACTCTACCACTGAGGCACCTTCCCAGCCCAATCAATTTATTTTCTGCCAGTCCTGGGGCTTGAACTTAGGGCCAAGCACTGTCCCTGAACTTTTATGCTCAAGGCTAGTGGTCTACTACTTGAGCCACAGCTCCACTTCCAGTTTTTAGGAAGTTAATTGTTTTTTTTGTTTTGTTTTGTTTTGTTTGGGCCCTGTCCCTGTGCTCTTCAGCTCAAGGTGAGCACTCTACCACTTGAGCTATAGTGCCACTTCCTAGGTGGTTAATTGGAGATAAGAGTCTCATGGACTTTTCTGCAGGAGGTTTGAACCAAAATTCTCAGATCTCAGCCTCCTGAGTAGCTAGGATTACAGGTATGAGCCTGTATATAATTTTTAAGATTCAAAGTTTCTAATCACTTAATGATTATTTTGCATGGAGACAAAAATCTCTTTGGAGGCATATACCATAAGTGAATTCAATTGTGAATGAGTTTCACTATGTTGTTTACAAATACTAATAGTACTTTCTTTTTTTCCTGTTTCCAATATTTGTTTTTCTGATTTTTATCTCTGTCTCTTAGCTTCTGGATGAAAGAATGGCATGTGTTTAAATTCAAGCATGTTTTCAGTCTTTAAAGTATTTTTCCTTCCTGTTTCTGCTTCTTATGAAGTTAAAACTTCAAACAACTTAAAAACATGTTCAACCAGGCATGGTGGCTCACACTTGTGCTTACATGTTCTCAGGAGTTGGAAATCCTGGAGGACTGAGGTTTGAGGCCAGGGGGTTATAACTGGGAATGGTGGTGCATACCTGTTATCCTAGTAATGCAAGAAGGAAGTCATAGGTAGGAGAATGGAGTTTTGAGACAAATCTCTGCAAAAGCAAAAACTTGACCCATTACTTGAAATTAACTGGGGTTTGGGGCATGACTCAAGTGGTAGAGTGCCTGACTGACAAGTGCAAGGCCCTGAGTTCAAACTGCAGTACAAAAAATAACAACAACAAAAAAAAATCCACCACCAGCAATGTTTTCTAGTAGAAATTATTGTAGCTTGGCTAGATGTGGTATTGTTAAGGCCTGTAATCCTGATGGGAGGGTTTGGAGGCAAGTCTGGACACTCAAAAAAAAAAAAAAAAGATGTAGTTTTTTCTTTTTTTTTTTTTGGCCAGTCTGGGCTTGAATTTAGAGCCTGGGTATTGTCCCTGAGCCTCTTTGTGCTCAAGGCTAGCACGCTACAGCCTGAGCCATAGTGCCACATCATGCTTTTTCTGAATAGTTTATTGTAGGTAAAGAGTCTCATGGACTTTTCTGCCCGGGCTGACTTTGAACCGTGATCCTCAGATCTCAGCCTCCTGAATGGCTAGGATTACAGTAAGACACAGGTGTGAGCCTGGTGCCGGCTTGTAGTTTGTTTTTAAGGGCACTGTGAGACCAGATATTTATGTGTTCTGTACCTCTATACCTTAAGTATTTCTTTATTATTTATGTGTATGAAAAATGTTAAGAAATGGGGGTGATGGTGCACTCCCAGCATTTGGGAGGCTGAGGCAGGTGAATCAAGACCACATTTCAAAAAACAACACAAACCCACAACAACAACCAAACAAAAACTGAATTGCTGACTGTCCTCATTAACTTGATTGTTCTCCATTCTGTAGTTCCTTAATTGTGAATTTTCTCCAAAGTCAAGGCGACAGGTTACAGCAAGCTGGTCATTATAGTAAAGTACAACTGAAGCTTTGTAAATTCCTAGACCTGGGGGGGGGGGACGGCGGAGGAACAATCCACTCCTGCTAAAAACATAAGACACTAAATTACCCCGTGATTGGCGCAGTAGCCGCCTAACTGTCTCAGTTCAGTTCTGTTCCTTTTATACCGTAAGGATGAGCAAGGATATCTTGGCAAGACGTTTCACAAGGTCCTATATTAGAAAGTTGCTTAATATTACAAGCCAATGATTCTTGGGAGGGATGGGTTTCCGAGGCGGTGGCTGCCGGGCTGGGCGGTGAGCCGGCAGCCTCGTCCTGACCACTTTCCCAAGCAGGCGGGGAAATCCAAGCGCCCGGAAACTGCCAGGCACTGGCTGCAGGGCGAGCAGGCGCAGGGGTTCCGCCTGGTCGGAGCCGCTTTAACCCACAAACGTGTCGGAACCAGCCCGGTTTTCTTTGTTCTTCCCCAGGCCTGAGCCTTGGGACGCATACCCGGCGGGGCTGCAGGCCGCCCCAGCGTCACGCGGCGCGTGTACGGGAGGACTGAGCAACGCCGGAGGGCGGGTGGGCAGGCGGGGGCCTCCCGCAGGGCTGCGCGCTTGCGCACTGCGGCCGGGCGCGCGCGCTCCGCTTCCCGGCTCCGCGTTCCTCCTCCCCCGCCCGGCCCCGCGCGCCTGCGCGCCGCGGCTGGGAGGAACTCGGCGTCCGGGCCGCGAAGGGCGGTCGGACGCGCGCGCGCTCGCGAAGAGGGGGCGGCGGCCAGGCGGCGAGAGGCGGGCCGCGCGCGCCGGTGGGAAGCGTCCGGCCGCCACAGCGCCAGCTCCGTCGTAGTCGCGGCCGCCCGGGTCCCGCTCGCCCCTCCTCCCGCTCCCCCCGCCCGCCGCCGCCCGCGCGCATGCGCCGCCGGAGCGCGAGGGTCGGCTTCGGGTGTGTGGTGGCGGCAGAGCGGAGCTGCGAGGCCCGAGAGTCAGAACCTGGGGGAGAGGGATGGTCTCTGCACGGGGGGGAGCCGGAGGAGCCGCCGCCGCTGCCGACGCCACCGCCGCAGCCGCCGCCGCCGCCGCCCCGGCGCCCGCCTCCCGGCGCTGACGGCCGAGTACGAAGCCGGCGAGGGGGAGTCAGCCACCGCGGCCGCCGGCGCGCCGCCCAGCATGGTGCGGGAAACCAGGCACCTCTGGGTGGGCAACTTACCGGAGAACGTGCGGGAGGAGAAGATCATCGAACATTTCAAACGGTGAGTGACACGCGGCCCGGGGCCGCGCTCGCTCCGCGGGCGCCGCTGCCGCTCCGGCCCGTTGCCGGCCCCTCCCCGTGCGCGGAACTGGCGCGGCGATCCCGGCCGCCGACACCCTCGGGCGGTGCGGCCCCGCCAGGCTGTCCGGTCCGTCGTCCCCTTGGCCCGCGTCGCGGCGTCGGGCCTCGGCGGAACCGGCCACCGACCGCCGCCTCCCAGCCTCGGAGGGAGGAGGCCGGCGCCAGCGTCCGCGGAGGAGCGGTGGGCGCCGCGCTCTCGCCGAGCTCGCCCGCGGGGTCGCGTCCTTGTTGTCCGCCGCTCCTTGGTCCGGAGCGGCCGGGCGGGGACCCGAGCACGCCGGACAGCCCGGCTCGACGCCGGGAGCCCCGATCCGCACCACTCCCGCGCCGGAGATGTCAGCCCTGGAGAGCGAGAGTCGTGCGGACGCCGAGGTCCCGGTGGGTAACACAGGGCAGGCGGTCCGGCCGCTGGCTCTGAGCCCGCTCACGGGGCACCCGAGGCAGGAGGCCCCGACCGAGTGGCGGACGCTCCGTCGGGTTTGGGGGTGGGGGCCTCGTAGGGACGCACCGGGCCGGGAGTGGGGAGCTCTCGCCCTGCGTCCTCCCCGCACCCCACCCGGGAGCCTGGCGAGGCGGGGGCTAGCGGAGCGCGGGACCGGTGGACACGGTGGCCTTTGGGGACTGTGGGCTCCTGGAACACTGGAAAGTGCAAACCTTCCCGGGCGGCCGCTGGCGCCCGCCCCGGGTCCTGGGGCGAGCGGAACGGGCGCAAACGTCGCCCTGGCCACAGGTTACTTTTTTGGTCGTGGCTCGCGCTCGCCGAGCGAGCGGAGGAGGCCTCTGCGCGCAGCCCCGCTCCCGGGGCCGGTGTGTCCACACGGGCACGCCAAGAAGGAACGCAGCCGTGCGCTTCTGCCGAGGCTCAAGAAAGATTCCACGTCGGGCTCGCTCTTCAGTTCCCCTCTCTGTCCCGAGAGCGGAGGAAATGATGGAACGTGCTTATTAGTGAGTCAGCCAGGGAGGAAAACAGAGCCGCCTGGCTGAGGACGTGGAGCGCGGAGGCCGCCGGGCGCCTCCGTCCCCCGGGTGGAGAACCATTGCTTCTGTTGGCCGTCGCAGTTACCGAGACCCGGTCTTCGCCACGGAGCGCTCGTGTGCGCGTGCCCGCCCGCGTGTGAACAGGAGCCCGCACCGTGAGGCCATGCCTGACCGGCAGGCTGTCCGCAGGCCCGGGGGAGGGTGGGAGGTCCGCTGCTCCGGGCTCGCCTCGGAGCCGAAGGGGCACCGGGGGACGCCGGGGAGACCGCGGCGAGCCGATGGGAACTTTCCGTCTCGGTGGTGCTCCACCCCTTCCTCCTCCTCCCCTTCCTCCTCCCCCTTCCACCTCGTCAGTGTCTCGGTGGAAAAAAAACAACAAAAAACCCTGGGCTGCGGACGGTGGGAGCGGGAAGCCGCGGGGCTGTGCTCGCATTCTTCTGCTCGGGGGTGGGCCCGGCCGTCGGTCCGCGCCGACGTGCTCGCACGTGCACTGCCGCAACGGGGTTAGGTGGCCGGACGTGTCACTTCGCAGTACGCAGGTTCGCGGGGCTCGGCCTGCCTCTGGCGGCAGCCTGACCCCCTGGCGCGACCAGGGCAGGGCTGAGGACACCGAGCCAGCCCGTTCCGAGCGGAGGGTTGCTGCGGTCCGGCTCGTGTGAATGACTCTAAAATGGCGGCCGGGACCCACTTTATGTGGGAATCGGCGGGGCGGCGCTCGGAATGCGCGGAGGGCGGCCGACCGGCCGGCGAGCCGCAGCCCGCGGGGAGCCCGAGGATCGCGGGGGGCCTAGCTGGCACCTTGCTCTCCACTGCATTTCGAGGCAGACCTTACGTATCGCAGAACAAAAGCTACTCATAAAAGCTACTCATAAAAACAGGTTATTTTAAAACTCAGCAGACGTGTGTGTCCCTGCAACTCCTTTATCTTAAGGGCGATTTTTTTCTCTTTTAAACGAATATACTTTTATTTGAGTAGGTAGTGCATTTTTAATGGGTTCAAAGAGCATAGAAAGGTTTACAACTAATAATCTCCCCATCACCCCTAATTCTGTTATCTCTCCCTTTCCCCACAAATAAGCTACTGTAGGTTTCCGCTTTCCTGCCTGTCTTCCCCTGTAATAGAAATGTTGTTGCTGGTCCAAATTGGCGCTAAATGGACCAGCCTTTTATCCCCATTGTGGAATTTGCTTTACCAAAAAAAGTTGAGTCTGGAAGGAAAATCGAATTGAGTAATTTAAATGAAAGGGATGAGAGGTAGTTGTATCAGAATGATGGCTCTGCAAAGAAAAATTAATGGTATTCACCTCTGGTGTCTTGTAGAAATCACAATGAGAAAAATCATGCAATACTTACGGTAAAACTGAAGCTTAAGTGCCTCCTTCTGCCCTTTTCCCTAGCTAATTACAACATTAACTAATAACTGTTTTACAGGATTAAGAGGTGTACACTGGGAATACATTATATAAAACGTTTTCAAGATGAATGTTCTCTTAACAATGATTAGGCTTTTGCAGTATTTGGATTAAAAAGAAGGGGGGGCATACTAGACAGCTGACATTTTAAAGGGGGGGGGAAGGTCAGAGTCAATTTTTTGTCCAGTTTATATTTTGATTCAGTGTCTTTGTTTGACAATACATTGAGAAGGATGCTGATTTGGCTTTTTCCCCTCAGTGCCAAAGGAAGACCAAAGCCTTAGAATATAATCAGAGTATTAAAAAAATTGGCTATGCCTTTTTACATAATAAAAAAAACTATTGTTTTCATTCTCTCCACAGCTTTCTAAATGCTGAAATAAAAAAAATTAAAGGAAGACTTTCTGAATCGATTTTTAGTTAACAAAGATTCATTACGGGAGCACAATAAAGAAAGTCCTTTCCTTTGTATGTTAGCTGGATTGAAGGGGGAAGGGAGTTACACAATTGGTTGTTGTCTTTCAGTTGTAAAAGAGAGGTGTGTGCAAAGGCGACACTTTGAATTAGAATGAGCAAATGAATGGAACCCTTTAAAGATTCAAAAATTCTTTTTATGTCTGAATTTCAGATTTTTCTCCCCACCCTCTTTTATGGACCAAACCAATAATATTCGGAGGATGATAGATTGTCCCTCATCAAAATTATTTTCAAAGAATAAAACCCACTTAAAAATGTATTTTGTTCATTTTAGTTGTTTTATCATAATGATTCTCTTGAGTTTAAAGAGCTGGAATATACATTAGCATATATTCCAGAATCTTGGTCACATAATACAAAGAAGTTTCCTTGTCCTTACAGTCAGTAGGTATTTATACCCATCATTAGAATATCATTAGAGACCAGACAGTTTCTATGAAACTGTTTTTAGTTTTGAATGTGATTTTGAATATCTGTTCTCAGGCAGGATAGGCTTTTGAATATTTTAAAAAGTTGCAAAAATTACACAAAAATTCATTTATCTTGAGCTATATTAACATTAATACAGAATGCTTGAAATGTATTTTTGTCTTCTGAGTGGAATTCCTGTGGCAGACTGAGGGAAAATATACCAGTCATTGCAAAGAATGGTGATGGTGGCATTTGACATGTAGAAGGTGCTTTTTCCCATTTACCTTTGTTGTAGGTTCTTGGTTGGTTGGGATTGTTTGGAATGCTTATAAGGAGAAGAGACTTGATCTATTGGATGTGTGCGTGCATGCGTGCCTGCGCTGGTCACTATGGCTTTTCTGGCTAATTGTCTCAGACTTTTCTGCCCAGGCTGGGTTTGAACTGTGATCCTCAGATCTCAGCTTCCTAAGTAGCTACGTGTGAGCTACCAGCATCCATCCATCCATCCATCCATCCATCCATCCATCCATCCATCCATCCATCCATCCATGCATTTTATTCATTCATTCATTCATTCATTCATTCATTCATTCCTTTTGGGTCCGGTCGTGGGGCCTGAACTCTAGGCCTGAGCGCTGTTCAGCTCAAGGCTAGCACTCTACCACTTGAGCCACAGCGACACTTCTGGCTTTTTTCTTTTTGCTTATGTGGTGCTGAGGAATCAAACCCAGGGCCTCCTCATGCATGCAAGGCAAGCGCTTTACCACTGAGCCAACTTCCCAGCCCCCATCCATCCATCCATTTTAAATCTACCTAGATGATGGTAATGTGAGTGAAAGTTATTCTGTATGGGCTTCCAAGTCTCTCGTTCCCCTTAGTTTGAAATCTGTAAACTAAAGAGAGTATTTAATTTGGACACAAATGTCTTTTGCTATTATTTCTCTCTCCTTATCTCTTTCCTTCTCCTATATCCATCTTTTCCTCGTTCTCTTCCTTTCTCCCTTCTCCCTTGAAAAAAAAAAAACAAAGAAAAAAAAACTGAAACCTTGGCTTGTAATTTCCAATCTTTTAAAAAAAATCTTCCTTACCTTTAAAAAGCTAATTTATTATTCACTTAGTAGCTATTTATGTTTTGAATGAAATTAGCATACTCTTACTATAGAAGCCAAATGTAAATGATTAAAAACCGTGCAATTTTGGAGTGCTGTATAGCTGGTGACTAGTGTGGGAGTGTAGTGAAAAGATACCCAGATCCATAAAGTACCCTACTTCGGGGTGTTCATACTACAGTGTCCTTGTCTCGGTCAAGTTGGAACGTGCCAGTGTCTAAAATCACAGTGGAATGATTATAATATCCTAACTTAAATGTAGCGATTTTTGTTTCACATTTAATTACTTGTGATTTTATGTCCAATATAGAGATGAATTTTATGTTTTACATTTTTTTGAGACAAAATCTTAACTGAAGCCTAGGCTGGCTTCAAACTTGCCATCCTGCTACCTCAGTCTCCATAGTGATAGGATTACAGGTGTGCATTGCCATATCTGGTTCATAGATTTTCACATTTCTATATTGTATAGTGAGCTAAGTGCTGGCTTATTTTGTAATCTGATTTACTCAGAAGGCTGAGATCTGAAGATT